CTAACAAATCTACGTAAAAACATTGCTGAAAAAAGGTGAAGCGGGAGAAGGAACCATTGAATAATCTAGCATACAGCGCCTGCTCTACCGCTAATGTATGGACAATTCCTATCGTCGTCATACGTCCTTTAACACGTGCAGAACTGAACTCGCACTTGTGGAGATCCGGGGCGGTGGTTCAGTGCGCACCTAAGCACTTTCTCCTCAAGTCGTCTCTACGTTCTGCTCTATCACTTCGATTAATAGCATTTTGAGGGCTTAAGAAAGCAATTGCTTGTAAATTCTGGACCAGCATTTTAGTAGGTCAATTTATCTGATTAGGATTAGATCTATTGTCATATGCCAAGCCCAGTAATTCACGTTCTGATCGTGAGAGTGTGGGAGTTGATTTTAGGAGTAACGCAAAATACAGACTGTAGGAATTCCAGTTTTGTGACGCCGCTCTCTCTATCGTTGATAGCTTTTACCGCCGAAGTAATTTTCTTACCATGCATTACACCATATAAGTCGTGAGCCATAAGCTCTAATTTGTGAGGAGACGTTTCTTCCAGAAGTAGGCGCATATGAAGGCCGTTAAGAAGGTTTGATTTGTGTTTTTGGAAAGATGAAACAAACATATTCTCTATCTATAGGTATCTAACTAAGTTCCTTACCAACTTATCACTAATGGCTGACTGTTATGTTAGCATTGCAGCAAACGATCATGATCAATCTCAATGTTACTTTTTACAAGCATCAATCAGACGACCTATACGTGTCTCGCCTATACATTTATCTTCTCTATGTCTGCGAAATAGCAATTCATTTATCTATGAAGAATTTGAGTCAAATACGTTGAATTTTTGTGTTAAATTGTTAGTTGAGGTGCATCTTCTTAATGATCTTATTTACTGAATGCATAATTGGAATCTTTTACACTTTATCCAACGAGAATAATCATGAAAGGACAGAAACCATTTTTAGAACTCCTGTATATATTTCTGAAATAACTTATAGGAAATTTTTATATTTTTTGGAGCTTACAGACAGACAGCGGTCTTCAAAAACACGCGGATAATGTCGTGCTGCTAATTTTTTTCAGAGTGATGTCAGGCTGTAGATTAGCTGTAGAAAACTTCTATCCACGATTATGCTTAACATTTAAGCCCAAGAATTGATTTTCAGACGTAGCGACGATGTGCTCTGCTGTCCTTACAGTGCAGTAGGAGTGCGGCCTTATTGATTGCCAGCGCAGTGTCTGTTCCGTTTTTCTTCACTCGGACGTTTCATGTCTCTCTTTTGCTCTCGATGAATAAATCATGAAATAACCACATTTCTTGGAATCTTATTGATCTGTAATTTAATAGATGTGATGTAGCCTAGAAAGATCATCCTGTAGCATGTATTTTCTCCGAGATTCTTCATCATTTGCATAGTTGGTAATATGCATTTCTATGTTCATGAAGTGTCGAATCTATTCATCAAAGTTCTATTTGCAGGTATGTTGGCTCGTTCTCTTCTCCTAGGTCGCGCGGATGTGGTGACGGTTGCCAGCCGCGCTGCATCGGCGGCAGCCACTCCATCGAAACCAGCTGATGCCGCGGCAAAACCAAAAGGACCAAAAGTGAAGACTTTTGAAATTTATCGTTGGAATCCCGAAAAGCCAGGATCAAAGCCCGTAATGCAGGTACGCGAGATGCAGGAGTTTTTCATCAGTCGTGGGTATACGAATTCACTGTGAGAGAGAGAGAGGGAGAGAGAGGAGGAGGAATTGTACTGTACCCATTTTCAACGCGTTATTTTGGCTTATAGTCCTTCTTACGAAATCTAATCTCTTATTTTAAGTCTGAGATGATGTTACATCCTATGGCGCCGTCAAAAGACGACGTCTAATTAACAATGGTGAGTATGTAGTAATTTGTAGTATTCCTTTTTTTTTGCTCTTTTATCGCGTCCATACCCGGTCACGTCTGGAGATTTCGGAGTGTTTTTCCAGCTCTAATCAGAGTAATTAGACCCTGATTCTGTTCTAGGACGTCTCTTTCTTACCGTTACGCTTTGTTCTATTGGACAACTTAATTAAGAGATTTTTTTTAG